CTTGTTCCTGAACTCAACTGAAATTGACTTTTCACCTCAAGCAATGTTTTAATAAGGCACTGACAGCTGCACCGTTTGCCCATTAATTTCGAAATTGCAGTTAGAATTATGATAATTAAGATACTGATGGTATAAAAAAACAAATATAAGGTTAAGGTTGCTGCGGCCATGGTGATACAAGATGACTCATATAGATGCAGGCTACCGAATAACGCCTCAATATTTACGGCGAAAGTGCGAACTGTCTACCTCGCCATTGAATGTGTTAAAACAAACGAAGTAATGAGAGCTGTAATCTATTCAGACTCTCTTTCTGTACTGCATAGGCTGAGCAATAGAAATGCTGACAATATTTTCATTTGTAATACATTATTACTATCTCTTGGACTTAAACTTTCATATTGTGTTTTGCTGATATCCTGGGCACATGCAGATCGTTCTGGAAAGGCAGCTTTATCGCTACACCCTGATGGTTTTGAATTTCATTTTAATGATTTTAAATTATTTAGCAAACAATTTTATCAGCTCAGTTGCAGGAGGAATGGAATCCATATACCGATATCAAATGGCATGCCGTAAAACCTATCATCGGCGAATGGTTTCCCTTCTATAGAGACATCCACCGAGACGAAGTTGTCCTTATCCGTCCTCTGATGTGCCACACTTACCGTGCACATTCATATATGTTGAAAGGCGAAGATAATCCTTGGTGCATAGGATGTGATGATCCATTCACCGTTAAACATTTTTTTATTGGATTGCATTGACTTTCTGCCTACTCGAGAATTTTTATATTAACTTAAAGTCTACAAGACCCTTTATGAAAATGTTGAGATTTATAAAAAATTCTGGGTAGATGAAAGATGTTGATGATATAATAGAATATGGCTTACCATTTTGACTCTTTTGTGATAATATAACGATTTAAGATTTTTAGCATTTTTCTTTTACATTTTATTTTGTTTGATGTTATTTGGTCTTTCACCGGTTGATGACCCTAATGACCTTTTATGTGTTGGCGGGCCGTTAAGATTGTAATAATAATTCTCAGCATCCTGAAAAAAAAACACATTGGTGAGAACGTCGAACGAAGCATCCAGTATCCTCAATGGAGTATACGTAGGCCTACACTCTAACCTGGCTGAGTTATCGTGGTGGGGTGGCCGAAATCTAATAAATATACATTAATGATTTTGTTCAGCATGTTAAACATGTTAAAAATAAACAGGATTTAGTGTATACTCGGAGTTATCTAACAGATAGAAATAATAATTATCATGATTCTATGCCCTTTTCCATATCTAAAGATTAGTTTATATAATATTCAGTGAAAAATTCTAATGTTGAATACAACAAGCTTTTATCGTGCGTGAAGGTACCTTGTTTCGTGAGACATGCTTCAAGAAGTCCGTACAATAACGTTCTATCTCACAAATTTTACAGGTTTAATTATGACTTATGTTCTGCATTCTTATCCTATCCATAACATAGATCTATAAAACAATTATAGATAAATAACTTTGAACGCTTATCGATTGCAGGAGGAAATTACTCCCAACGTTCAATGACTGTTTTCGCAAAACAATCAAAAATCAAGATAACAGCTTGTTGCTCAAATGGGACACGTGACGACAGCTATAAAGACTATGATTTATGACCCCCATTACCTAATTATCACAGATGTTACCGGCACATGTATACGGACAAGGGAACATCCGGAGCTTCATGCCAAGAAGACAAATATCAAAGAAATCATATTAGACCTGTAATAAATCGCGTCCGTATATTCATTATATAAGTATTCTATGTCGAGTACACTGTAAAATCTTAATGCATACATACATATAAAAAGAAAGTGTTAAAGTATGCTTTAAAAGGTTTTATATCTCTTGATGATTGAAACATTAATCCTGTTTTCTAAAATATTGTGGCATAAAGTTACATCTTTGTCGCGTTTTCTTGAAGCTACGCACTAAATATGAGTAAAGATCAAACCTACAATGAAATAGAAACTCATAACTATGCACTACGATTGATATCCTCGTGACTAACCATAGCTAGAATGGATTGGCATAGGTGCAGATTGGTCTCTGGACACAGATATCTCTAATATTATGTCAGTTCACTCAACCATAAGAAAACCACTGGTGTCAGCAATCTGTTCACACCTTTTGGAGATTACAATAAGACAAAAGTGTTTGTAACAAGATATCTATCATGTTTATTGATATAAGTTAATTCTAACTATGATTTTTGAAAATAGTGACGTGTTATGAAGGATAAAATCTTCAATTAACTTAACAAAATCTTTAATTCTTTATGATGTATGAAATAACCTCGACCAACATCAAGGTTTAGGACCGATGGTGTGATCCTAAGATGAATGTGTATTTTTTCCTGTTGCATGGTAATATACATAGCTCCTGGTTTATATCCCTGTCTTACCTACTGATTTCATTTGGGTAATATTACTATTTTTAATCCAGGCATAAATATACATACAGTGTTCATATTTCCTGTAGCATCCTCTGATGACTTCATTTAGTAACTTCGAGTAACGTTACCTAATCGAAAACCCGACTACTTATTTTTTTCAATAGCTAATATGTAGCTACCTAATCTCTATATCTTCTTTAATTAATAGGAATCCGGTCGTAAATGGTGCTCTACGTCACACAAGCTCATTGCAAGTACTAAACAGTTATTAACAAATAGTTTGGTTCATGATATTTGATAACTAGCAAATAACAACTCAGCCAGTCAGCTTATATATCCAAGCAAATGATTATTGTCCACATTTCTCAGTCATATTACAGGTCAGGGTTAGCGTAGTCCCTCTCTTGTGTTGAAATAAAGTAAGGAGGTCAAATGAACCAAATTCATTGTTCTAATGCTTACATATTGTTGCCTGCAAGACATTGTTGTGAGATATTGAATTACTGCTCATATGTACATGTGTAATAAAAAAGTTATTTAACTACATATCATCTTTCATATGTATAGTTACGCCCCCTCCTCATCGGATGAAGGGGGCATTTGTGTACGTTATTCAATCGTGTTCAGAATATAGCTTAATATATTAAAATAAAACTTGAACCATAAACCAGTATTTCTCCACAAATTGTGCATTGCTATATTATAAGGTTAATGTTATCCTAACATGGAAGTCAAATAAGAACATTTTTTTTCTTAAGGTAGATTTAGGAAACTATAACAATACAATTGGAGGTATTGATAAAACTAGAAATTTACACACTTTTTACCTTGAGTTGTAATCAGATAACTAGATGGCAAAGAATAGAAAATGTTTACTGTCAGTGTTGTATTAACTCATGTCTCTTTTCATCACCTTTCTTTTCAACATCTAACATCTAACCGACGAACTGGTTTTGTTCAAAAAATTAAATATCTAGTTATGTAATGAAACGTTCCACTGAGCTTTAAAGCTGAACACTATCATAATTCATACGACTGAACATCGATATAACAAGATAATCATTCAAAGGTCCATTGCTAATAATCTGATAATATCTTGTGATTTCGAAAGAACATCAGGTTCATGGATATTCTAAATCGTGCCACTATTCAAATATATTTAAACGTGATTACTGCAAACCTTAAGTAAATTGCAGATTTCAGTTTAAATTCAGAATGAAACACAGTAGAGCCAGTGTGATAGCACATACACAAACCGCTAGGTGATATGGTGTTGTAATGGATACTAGACGCAGCCCTGACGAAGGGAACGCAACCTCCGGCAGACGGGAGACATACTGTAAGGGTATTTTTTCTGAAGAGTAATACAATATAGAGTATCTTACTACAATTACCAGATAAACGAGTAACACGACTAACCAAAATCGACACAAATAACTTTGACTCGATAACGAATGGTAACTACGAGAAGTTATCGTCAATCTGCCAGTGAATCGTTTTGAAATGAATGAAAATAGTAGTCTTATATGATATGTACTTCCTCGCAATAAAGAATGTAAGAACTCCTACGCGACTACTGAACTTCGTCATACTAACGTTTAATTCTTCTAGACGCGAATATTCCTACTGACCAAATTAGCACATTCCATTTTCAGAACACCAGCACATTAGGTCAGTACCTCTTAGTGAATCCTGACACAAACAGAGCTGTCAACAATAGTGATAAACCACATGTAGTGTTTCCAATGGTTTATCAGCACTTCCACATCCCTTGATGATGACATCTACTTCTATGGCGTGGCTATGTCTTTTCCAACATTGAACATTGATATTATTCACAATGATGAGATTCGTCTGACTAACGGAAATAACAAGGTATGTTACGAAAATCCATCAAAACTTATAGCCATACCACCGAGGGCTTTGTATAAGCGTTTGTGCAATCGTTTTGGTCAGCCGCCATTACATGTTATTGAAATAGCTTGAACATCTGGTGAAAGTCGTCACAGACAAATTGTCTAAACATAAACACTCTTCTGTGCTCGATCCTTACACATGACAAAAATGTATGAATTGGTCATTTGCTTGCAAAGGACGTTCGATATCAGCGACGGATCCGAATCAACTCAACAATGGAAATATTCGTAACTGGATCTGACTCATCAAGCATCTAACAACGATTAAGAATGTTGTAATGTTTAGAGGAATACGACCACCACTCAGGTCAGAAAGAGATGTAAAACGGAGTTATCTTTGATCAATGAAAAGAGGACAATGAAGAAAGAGATGAGAACAATCTTCAACAAGATGACCACAGGTATAGACAGGCTATTAGGAATTAAATCAATCCACGTTCAAATTACTAATAGAATTTCTTAATTGACATAAATTTATATTTATCTCCTTTAACTTTAGAGATAGACGTGTGAGCATCATTTTACGCCCAAATGGACGATATTGTGGGAAACAGACAAGATGCCGTTTAGACATAATTGTGAAAAGAAACTTGTTATATATATAGCGATTTTGAAACAGTTAATATTGACCAGTGGTTAGTGACAAAATCAGATCTTAGCCACTGAAAAAAATAAAAGAGATCAAGATAAAACTTACTCTTGAAAATACAATGTACATCGTATATCGATCTGACCCAACTTTTTGCGATGGTATTATTTATTAGATGTGAAATTTTGAAAATTTTAATCTGTTTATGACTTATTTTCAATCTGCTCTGTCAAGCGCAGTGATATATCTATAAGTTGACAAGGCTTCAGACATTTCGGAATGTAAAAATGACGACAAACGATGTTGTCTTATACCATAAAGAATTATCTAAAATAAATCTGAATTGTAGTGCTATTATGATCAGAAATATGCGACAATATACATCGAAAAGTATTGATCATTTGTTATTTGTGACATGCGCACTTAGTTAATAAAAATCAGCAAATTCCATGTGGCTGAACCTTGTATCTGTTGTTAATTGGTTATATTTGGAATGCTCTGCCTTCAGTGCATCCATCAGGCGGATACTACATATTTGTTCTTGTAAAATGCCATTCGTCATTTACTTAACATTGTAAGCATGTGATTAGAGAAAATATAACCCTCTATCCTGTAATACTCTCCTTATTGTTGTAAAAAGTATATTCCTGTCGAAGGATGTACCTGCTCTCAATCAAAGATATCCTAATTTAACGTTCTAGTTGCAGTTTATATTTATGTAATTTCTGGTAGGGAAATACTGTTTTCGTGAAGTATATATTACACTTACCTCCATACTCCATGGGTTACGATCACTTTAACCAATTGCACCCCTAGACCATTTCAAGGCTAATTTGGAGGTTTCGTTTGCGATACCTTGCTGACCTGACGATAAGAATAGCTTGATTCTTTGATGTACACCAAACGAATCTCAAGGTTTCATAACAGTATATCACTCCAATATGACGTTACATGGCCCATCCGTAATTAGTTTATCCAGTATGGGAACACCCAGGCATTACGCTATGTGTAGATGTATTTGTATAATTGAGAATATAAATAGCAAGACTTGATATATACCTGACCAGTTAATATATGAGTGTTCAAACAAAAAAGACTAAAACAAGAACAATTGATAATTTGACAACAAAAACAATCATTATGACGTCTGGGAATATGCTATTTGTGCATGATTCTTAAAAATGCTTTATCAAATACGAGTCATATATCGAATAATGTTTATAAGACGTGTTTATTTCATGGTATAATACTTCTTTCATGACACAGAGTATACAATATGTTCACAATGGTATACAACAGTTTCCGTCCGTGAGATGCGTTAAACTTATCCATAATACGTTTAAGCTGACAAATACTTTTATAGAAACCATACCTGTGAAAATCACTCAAAGAAGATATATAGAGATCGTCGATCAGACAAAGAGCCCATATTCCCGATAACTCCCACTTGAACCCTGTTCAGCTATATTCGCATAAAATACCAGACTCCATTCAAATTTACAGTGTTATTCATTACTACAGGAGTTGACCTAAGTGATCTACAGATGTTTGAGACGATGTCAAACATGAAGCTGTCACACTCTTCTTGTCTGTAACACTCCAATCCACAAAGTCCTTGGTTCGATACTTTTACGTCCTTGTTAACACGGAAAACGTCACCACTGGCTCCCAACATGGCTTTCCATTTTTGGCATGTGCCTGTACAATAATATTGTTCATCTATACAATCTTATTTTAAAGATATTAAAGATTTCAGTCAATAATTAAAATTATAATAAAAAAAAAAAAAAAAAAAAAAAAATCATAGCGTAACTCGCAAGTGTTGCCCTATTCTAATATGTCTTCTCTTGGTAATTATGTTTTTTAAAACAAGAAACACATTTTCTATAGTCATCTGAAGTATACTCTTTAACTAAAGTGTATTGTAATTTCAACACTAACAAGTATTTAAAGGGTGCACTTAGATTGAGAATATTTGTTGTGTAAATGTGAATATAACTTTCCTTATTCCTTCATGTAATTATAAAACGGACGTTACCTGGATAGTGCAGTGTTTAAATAATACTCGTCATATTTTGTCATTTGCTTGTTGCTGTTATTTTGTATTATGTATAATAACAGTATATGAAATTTGAAAATAATTACTTAAAAATACTGTGACTCTAATCTTTATACAAACTTACACTGACTTGCCAACTACAACAGATAAAATGATACTTTAAATGAAAACTTCAAAACGCGCCCATTATTGTACTCTCTACTTTTACAAAACTGGCCTATGCAAGATGCGTTTTTAAAATTTGGGATCGCCCGGTATCAAAAGCCAAACAAACAGTGGTTTTCATATATGCGTGCAATTGTAATTATCATCGTTTATTTGTTTATTCATTTTATTGAAACATTTTTGCAATGACCGAGAAATGCAAAACGTTACGTCCAATGTAAATTTCCTTCATGGAGTTCATCATACAAAATATCAGTATCCCACTTTAACAAAATGGTCACCATTTCCTTCCCACAAATTGTACATATTATCACATCGCATGGTCAATCCAAGTGATGAACGTTACGTTCTCAAACAAGAACAATGTTTACAATAGTGAAGCTATCAGGGAAAGAGAACTAGCATCCAGCTTCATATCTCACAAAGAGATATAATATTTCTTAATAGTATCACTATGGCCACCGTTATTCAAGTTTCTAAACGAATTTGGGACGGAAACTAATATGACTTACACTTCCAAAATCAATTTACCTTAAATTGTTTTAAGTATTACAATAAACAATGACACCTGCAAATGTCAAGAATAAAAATCCACACCCTAAACTTACTGTGGACATCACTGACTGGACATCCTTTCACCTCCAGCCTCAAAGAGAAATGGTTATGTCCGGAGACCGGTATAACCCGGATATACTTGGCGAGAACGATTCCGTCTAGCCAATTTGATACAATTGTGTTTCCATCGAAATTTCCTCGGAACACCTTTCAAAACGAAGGGCATGTGCTAAAATTGACACTTTTTGATACAGTAGAAATTTGATAAAAAGAAACATAATTCAGGTAAGAAACGTTGACATGATAAATACATGGTAATTTTAATAGCTTAATATACGAACTTTTGTAACCATTTAGCAGAAATATTTGTATGTTAATTATTGTAACATTTTAATGGTATTGCAAACGTTAGACAGCAAGTTATATCAGATGCATGTTGTATAAACCTAAGGTTTTTAAAACCAGATTTGCTTTAATGATGTTACGTCTTGGCACTAACACTATATATTTATATATTTATAGTGGTAGACAATGTTTAATACACACAGTACTATGATACACTAGAGTGTAGTGGTAGACAATGTTTAATACACACAGTACTATGATACACTAGAGTGCAGTGGTAGACAATGTTTAATACACACAGTACTATGATACACTAGAGTGTAGTGGTAGACAGTGTTTAATACACACAGTACTATGATACACTAGAGTGTAGTGGTAGACAATGTTTAATACACACAGTACTATGATACACTAGAGTGCAGTGGTAGACAATGTTTAATACACACAGTACTATGATACACTAGAGTGCAGTGGTAGACAATGTTTAATACACACAGTACTATGATACACTAGAGTGCAGTGGTAGACAATGTTTAATACACACAGTACTATGATACACTAGAGTGCAGTGGTAGACAATGTTTAATACACACAGTACTATGATACACTAGAGTGCAGTGGTAGACAATGTTTAATACACACAGTACTATGATACACTAGAGTGCAGTGGTAGACAATGTTTAATACACACAGTACTATGATACACTAGAGTGCAGTGGTAGACAATGTTTAATACACACAATGTTTAATACACACAGTACTATGATACACTAGAGTGCAGTGGTAGACAATGTTTAATACACACAGTACTATGATACACTAGAGTGTAGTGGTAGACAATGTTTAATACACACAGTACTATGATACACTAGAGTGCAGTGGTAGACAATGTTTAATACACACAGTACTATGATACACTAGAGTGTAGTGGTAGACAATGTTTAATACACACAGTACTATGATACACTAGAGTGCAGTGTTAGACAGTGTTTAATACATACATCACTGTAATGGAGTGTTAGACACTGCTTAATACATACAGTACTAGGATGTAGTGTTCTACAATTTTTAATACATACAGTACTTTAGTGCAGTTTTAGAATACCGTTTAATACATACATCACGGTAATGAAGTGTTAGACACTGATTATGGTGTAGTGTTAGACACTGTTTAATATATACAGCACTACAGTGTAGTGTTTGCACAAATGTCTGTTTGCATGAATAATTCCAACCCTTCAAAGAGTGTGCTAACTGAAATATACACACAGTGTTAGATATACCTTTATTTTGTCACTAGTGGGATCCACAATATTGCTCCATGCGCTTCCGTCGATACTGGTATTTACCTTGTACGAAGTTACCCACTGGTGGCATGGATGATGGGTTACTCGTCCACGAGTCTGTATCGCCTTCACTTCCGACACCGTCTGAAACTCCACCTATATGTATCTTGCAATAAGTCAAAATGACTCAATATTACAAAATTAGTAATTACATACCAGTATTATCACATATAAACGTTACGCAGAAAAATATACGCATTTAAAATTCACTTGTCATTTGGTGAAATTTGTTTTTCGCTAGTTATTAAAACCTCAATAGTTTCTATCCCAATATCAATTGAAAGAAATCAACCAATCGGTTGATTTGGATTTAACGCCCTCTTTTCCGGTTAGCTCTAAGCCTTAGACAACAAATCAGAAACAAGATTGACATTTAAATATCTATCAATCGGTAGAGATGGGATTAATTGATATGGGAATCTTCCGTGTTTTGTTATATTAAACACGCGCACAGACGGCATCGACTATAACTGAAAATGAGAAAAAGTAATACCTGGTCAGTGTCAAGTCAAACAATAAATTTGAACTTATGGAAAAAATGTCCAGGAAACGCAAGCTGAAATAGTGAAAATCAAAGATCTAATTAAGAAACACAAAAACACTCGAAAAAGAAGAATAACATCACTACGACATTGAAAACCGGGTTCATGACCTTGAAAATCAAAACTGGATAACGGAACAAGAAAAAAATAACTTTAAAGAAGATTTGTTAAAATTACAGTCTCAATCAATAAAGTATAATTTAATTTTTAATGGCAATGAAGAATCCAATGATGAAGATACAGAAAAAAAGTTGTAAAGCCGAGGGGCATCATAGTAAAGTTTGAGCGGTAAAGTGATCGCGAAGCAGTAATGAAACAGGTACCAACAAAGTTAAGGGATAAACGGCAATATTCTATTTTTCAGCAGTATCCACAGAAAATTGCTAATCGTCGCAAAGCTTTGTTGCCGAAACTGAGAGAGTTAAAACAACGCGGCGAGAATGTACGGCTCGTGTACGTCACGCTACATGTGAATGGTGCTCCATATCGGCCAGAAACTGACACACCTGTACAACAGCGTGCACAAGGGCAAGGGCAAGGCACTCATGTACGCGTACCTGGTAGCACAGGACAGAGCACATAGGCCAGGTCCCCAGGTGCATTGTCTGAGCACGGTAAACTTTCCATCAGTTGTCTTAACGTTTGTGGAATAACGCAGAAACTACTGAACCCAGACTTTCATGATCTTATTAATGAAAATGATACTTTTGCAGGTGTAGAATCCAAAACAGATGAGTTTGATGATTTATAAGTTCCAGGTGGTTTTTCCTATTTTATGAACAATAGATCTAAATGTAAACACAAGTCCGGTGGAATAGCAGTAATTTTAAAATCTATTCTGTCGAATAACTTAGAATTTGTTGACTCAGACTCAGAATTTGTTTTATGGATCATGTAAGAAATAGGAAACTTTAGTTCTTTATTGGGTTGTGTTTATATTCCCCCTCAGGGGTCTGCATACTCATCAGATGACTGTTTTACTGAAATTGAAAATGAATTACTTATCTTTCCTCCGTTAATGATAACATATTGTTAGTGGGAGACTTCAACGCCCGCACAAGTACATTGGTAGACTATGTCGTACCTGAAAATAAACTTCTAAATATTCTTAATTTAGATAACTCAAATGTAGACAATGTCCACGCCTATCATAAACTTTTGTCCCATAACATTCCACTTGAGAGGGCAAATAAGGATGTAGGTCGCAGTAATCAGTTTGGCACTAAACTTATTGATATGTGTAAGAGGTGTTCATTATTTATGAGTAATGGTAGACTTTATACAGACAAAAGTGATGGAGCACCTACCTGTAAAGGGGTGAGTGTGGCAGACTATTTACTATTTAGTACTGAGTTATTAAATTTTATTACAAACTTTGAAATATGTAACTTTAACCCAATGTTCTCCGACGTCCATTGTCAATTAACTTTTTCCATTGTTTATAAAAATTAATATCCTGAAAGCGGTAATATGGTAACCGAATCAAATACTGTTGAATTTGTAAAATGGGACCAAAACAAGAAAAATGAATATACTCATAAACTTAATATTGAAGAAATAACAAAAACTGGGGAACAAATAGACATGTTGAGTGTTCCTAACACTAGTGTTGACAAAAGTTGTATTGATAAAGTTGTGTCAGATTTTTGTGATGTATTACTGGATTTATAAAAATAAAGGTGACATGAAAGATGCAGATAATTACCGGGAAATAACTTTAATAAGTCTTGGTAAGTTATTTACACGTATCTTAAATAACCAGCTTACTGATACCCATCAAATAATTTTTCATAGTCAGGCAGGATTTCGTGACAGGCATTCCACTATTGATAATATTTTTATACTTCATTCGCTTATCACACTATTCTTATCTAAAAATAAAAAAAATATTATACACAACATTCGTTGATTTTCGAAAAGCATTTGACACTGTCATGATTTCTTTCGTAAAAACAATAGTGTTCCTTTGAGACACTTAAAGGAGAACTTTCAAAATGAACTTAACATATTTCTGGATATTTTTGTCTTGTTTTATGCTGATCATACTATTATTCTCTCAGACTCTGTTAGAGGTTTACAGAAGGCGCTGGATATCTTTCATTTGTATTGTACCAAGTGGAAACTTAATGTTAATGTCAAGAAAACCAAGGTCATGATATTTTGTAAGAAAAGGTAAAAAAAATAGCGAAAGTTTTAAGATTAATGGCCTTATAATTGAAGAAGTAGATAGCTAATTATTTGGGTGTAACATTTAATTTTAAAAGTTACTTTTATAAGTGGAAGCAAAAGTTGCGTGAACAATCACAAAAGGCTCTTTTCTATGTGTACAGGAGTATTAAAAATCAACATCTTCCAATTGATTTACAGCTCAAATTATTTGACCTCTTATTTAAGCCATATTATACTTTATGGATCAGAAATATGGGGCTTTGAAAATATCTAAATTGTCGAGAAAGGCCACCTGCAATTTTGTAAAAGAAGTTTAGGGGTAAGAAACACGACAACAGTGTTTATGGTATATGGCGAACTTGGTCGTTACCCTCTGGAAATAGATATTAAACTCAGAATGGTTAATTTTTACAACTCGTTAATAATGCAAGAGTCAAAGTTAAGTAGTCTTATGTACAGACTGATATACAAACTTCCTGTCAACAATTTGTGTAAGTTTAAATGGGTAGATTTGATTAAATCTTGCTTTGATGATGTAGGGCAGAGCGCTGTTTTCTAGAATCAGGGCCCAATTAGTAAATACTGTATCAAAACCAGTATTAAAAAAAGTTTAATAGATCAATTTATACAAAAATGGAGAAACGAAACGGAAAATTCATCTAGAGGCTTATTCTATAGTAGTTTTAAAAATTCTTTAATGCTTGAGCCATACCTGACTCAACTCTCTGATAAAAACAGACGGATTTTATGTAAAATTGGATGCTGTAATATGAAATTTCCCATTGAAACTGGAAGATGGCGCAATGTTCAGAGACAGGATAGAAATGTTCTCTATGTAATACCTCAGTAGGTGACGAATTCCGTTACTTATTTCAGTGCACTGATATAAGTGTTTATTTCAAAGTCTTAACAAAATGTTTTGAAGTAACACTATGGTATCCTTATATAGCGTGATGTTATGAAACCAGCTTGTTTTATATAAGTAAATCGTATCGTTCTAGTTGTTATCAGTCTGATCTATGAAAGTACTGTGTACTTTGAATAGTCCTAACAAAATACAGTGAAACGTTACTTTCAGTTACCATCCATTTTGTCACGTATCTATTGATATAGTATTGTTTTACCTCATGTTATACATTTTCATGTATCTGAGGATCCAATAAACTTGAAACTTGAACTATTCCGTTGTGACATATCCAGCCATGTATAACATTGTACAAAATACACACGAGTGAATAGCTCATGTCACATATATTAACTCTTCCTGTATACTTTTTTCTGTACGAGGTACGAGTACCACTGCATAAATTATGATTTGAATTTTTGCTTTAATTGTGTGTTATCACTTATATCCAGAGGTTGTAACTCGGCAGTTCAAGCCACTGGCACGCAGCTTGTTAGGAACGCGGGGCTTAATCAAAATCGAAAATGAGAATATCGTGGTACAATAGAGGTGATTGGGCTCTATCCCTGACATCATTAACTTATGATAAGGATACTTTGTTGGCAAATCTTTTTGTCGATTCATTTGACCAATGCCTGTTAGTGTATAGAATATTCTACTGCTGGGCACTGATCAGTTTTACCCTGGTACAAAGGCTAGGGTGGTAGCAGCTCATTTGACATATTGCATGCCGCGAATATAATAATCTAACTTGTGTTTTGCAAGCATGATATCTACTTCAGGCCTGAGATTTAAAGGCTAGGGAACAATCCTTTGTTTAATTTTATTTTTTATGTAACGTGTTAACCATATATATTAATGATAATATCACCCGGACTGGTCTAATATATATCTGATGTTTTGATTGGTTTATAACTCGTAATGTACAGGGAGTTTCCAATTACATTTCCATTCAGGATCATAGTACGTGCTTTCAGTTGCTATCAGGATACATGTTTAATCTAAAACTGCGGTAACTTACCTTCCTCATCCATAGTTAAATTACCACAGGATGTGGTACAGATGTTTGCTCAAATTTTATAACTAGCACTTCTGGTAAAGAAAATTTTGTCATGAATTTCTTTACAAGGAAGATAAATTCTCTGTTTTTCAAAATGCTTTTTCCAATCAGATTTCCTCTGAACTCAGTACTTTTTATCATTGTTTAGTATGATATCTTTTACCCAGCGGTCAGAATTTTCCTGTTTATGGTACCCTCCGATTCTAGTTTTCATATGCTCCACGACATAATCGTGTTATTTTCCGAGTGAATTATAGCTCCTCTAACAGTTCGAGGTAACCTGGATAACTATTTGCAAGCTGACTTGATTGGCCAGACTATGCTGTAATTCATTGGTTAAAGTTTTAAATTTTTGGTTTCTGTTGTAAAGGTACGTCGATTTGCTTTCACATAGCAGATCCCGTCTTATTCAGTTGGTTTTTACCGCATCAAATTATCCTTTAGTTACATGATTATGATCATTGCTTAAGTTTTTATTTTTCAGTAAAAAATTGCAGGCACCCGAATTTCCTTGCTAGGAATCCAAGGCTCGATGTTCTACCATCGTGTCTTCATCGTAGTGGGACTATCTACATCGTTTGACGTTTCCATGGGTGACCGGAGAATTGTTTTTACGGCCGATTCAATGGAGTGTTGCTTGTCTGGTGTAAAGGTACCTGAGTTTGCTTTCACATTTGCAGATCCTTCGTATTCAGTTGGTTTTTATTGAATCAAATACTCCTTTAGCTACATCATTATGATCGTAACGTTAGGCAGTATTCGGTCGAAACAATCCAGATTTCGCAATATATATATATATATATATATATATATATATATATATCGTAACATAATTTCACATAACGTATCTACACATCGGTTACAAACAGCCATCTGGAGTCCTTCGCACTAAAATTTGACAGACGGAACTGACATCTGGTCCTAAATATCCAGATTTGACTATGAATTGTGAGATTGAATCGTCGCATGAAGATGTTACACATTGAAAACGCAAAATTAAGTCGCCGCGATTGATTTACAGCAGCTGTTAAGTGTTTTTTTAAAGTGTTGTCTGTGATGTTAAATGTTTAAATTTGGAACATAGGAGGCGACTCGATAAATTGTTCAATAAATATCGTATTTTTCATTAATCTGTAAATTATCAGGTGTAGTGTACATGTGCATATTTTCAACTGCGCTGCTATTTGAATAAATTAACACCAGACATGCAGAATACGCCAAACCTTGGGCACTAAAAGCCCACTTGCATTTTTCCATAACCCGTGATAACGTCGATGATACAAAAATCAAATGAATAGTACTTTTTAATACAAGATTAGATTTAGTTTCAGTAGTACTATATCATGAACTTAACTCCACTATACTGCTGTTTAATCCTTCGAAAATTTGTCATTTATACATAGCACCTCGCGTCCGCGTGTTTAAACGAAACAAAACAATAACCGCGAAAAGATTCGATAAGATTTTAGATGAATACTTGTAACTTAATTGTAGCTTTTATGAAAACATAAGTTGTGCTATTAATATGATTACTGATACAAAAATATACAATTATTTATATACGATGTATTCTATATTTTCCTTTGTTGTTTCTCAACGTGGCATTCTCAAAGATGCTGGTATCTGCATCTCCACATGGTAAAATAAATCATAATATATTGCAACATCTGTGTATTCCTGTTTATTCAAATCGACGCTCTTCAAATGTTCAAATTATCACCAATATTGACAAAGACATATTTTCTAAGCGATAAGAATCTTTTTAACATTTCATCTTTATCAGTTACAGCATTTTTCATCACATCGCATAAAACTAAAAAGATTTTCAAAAACTCTGACGCATTTGCTGAATGTAATCAAAACAATTATATATACAACTGACCAACTGGCAAATCAGATGAAACCGATTCAACGGAAAATTTTCCAGAATAACACTGTATATTGCCTCTAATCATATTTATAAATTATAATTTATGATGTATATTTTCAAATCACCAAAAACAAAAACGTTCATATCAAATAAGAAGTGATGTCCTCTAAGTCAGAATTCATGGAGGGATGCATCTGGTGTTCATTTAAAAAAAAGTTACGAATTCACTTTATTTATTTTTGTTAAGTTTGTGTAACGGAATCCGAGTGAAAAACTGTCATAAGTTAAATAAACAAGATTGACGTACTTCGTAATGTTATTTATTCGGAATTTGCGGCAAATAACGATAATTATTTGTTCTGTCATAATTCTAACGATTTGACAACAAATTACAACAATAAATCTGTTATAATCTTCAAGCCTCGTTAAGTTGTATTTGTTTGTGAAGGCCTTTGACAACTTCGGGTATGTCAAACAAAAAGGATACCGAAAGTGACCTGAGACCTTTTTTTATTTATCTGGAAGACATCTAGCTGCATTCTTTCGCAGATCGAATCACTGTTATTGTATTATACCATCCCGTATAGTACAATGTTGTAGGTAGCAGTACACAGTTTCTCGGTGTGGCCATGGGTGATTTTTTTGCTCATTAGATTACCCCATTATAAAGGTTTTAATTAAAGATGAAAAAAAAAATCCTTGCTAAAATTGGTTCTGTCATGTTAAAGTGGACAATGTGGGGTTTCATTTTTTTCAGGATAATATTTTAGCTTTGTGTTGGAGATTACTATTTGGGCAGTCTCGAATCTGTGTCTATGCACCAAAAACTAGCTTTACAGGAAGTGAAATTTTCATAGTGTTCACATGTGGTCATGTTATGAAGAATTTCCGAGTTGGAATTTGCTGAAATGTAAGTACTTTGTTACCATGACAGTGTTGTTGATTGTAAGATAGGTGTTTAGAATTAAATTTCTCCTAGAAAGTTGTAGTGTTGGGTTGGAATTAGCAGTATTTTTGCATTTTTAGCATTTTTTCAGTAGGTAACCATGACAATCAAATGTCAGAAATCAAAGGAAATTTTTTTTTTACACAAATTTCATCTCTCTACTGTTAATGTAATTGTTATACAGTTTATAAATATATATACATGTAATGATGTATTTTCCATAACCAATCTGCTATACCTGTATATCTCAAACATGACAAATAATTTCAGGAAAAATGCAAATTAACTGTTTACTGCTACCTGTATCTGTATTGTTGGTCATGCATACTCATTGGAGACTCTCTAACGTTTTCATCAAAAGAGAATTTATTTCTCATACATGTATATATATGTGTGTATGTATGCCTAATGTACATTTTACTAAAATATGCCTTTTCTATCTTCAAAATATATACACTTTCGAGTATGGAGTCACTCATGTGTAAAAAAATATTTTTGAATACTTAACTATGTCACTATGAATTAAAACGTCAAATAGGGAGTTACGGCAAACTTTGGGAACGTTAGGTCCGTACTTTCTACTATGTTATATCAAAGTATTGTACTTCGGTCATACAAGTGTATGTGATTACCTTGAAGTATTACCTGTATATACTGTCCTTGGATACTTCGTAAAGGACACCATGCATTGGTACTGTTCAACCTGACATCTTTTATCGGACAATGGGAATGAGTGGATGACGCAGTGAAAGCATCGACGGAGACACCGTAAGGCCCAGTAACCAAATTGAAGGCACAAGGATAGCATCCAGCTGAAAATTAAAAAAAATGTATTTGCTTTCAAACAATATTAAATAAAACTTTGCTTCGTCCTCTTTCGTTGACAGAATAAATATGTTTGTCATCTGAGGTACGTGAAAGAACGTACATCTTGTATCATTATCATGTGGACATATAGGAGAGGGTACTGACATAACATACAGTCGTATGAACATTGGTTTAAAGGTCTTTTTCCCTCTATTTTACCTCTCTTGGCAAGGGTTGTTTGTGTTTTCCATATCGTTGACCCTCCATATATCAGTTGTGACATTGAGCAGAACGATATATTGCAATTGTTCTTTGAATGCTTGATGTGTCTTCAGCATATATATCATAAAGGTTAATATAATAAACAACTTTAATAGTATTCTGCCTAAAACAAACCGTCTGTCCTTGAACAACAGAGACAATACATTTCTTCATCGACGACACCTTCCATGCAAGGTTTGGTCAATCCAAGTAAATAATGTCACGTTCCCAAACGTTTAACTATATTGAAATCAACTTAATTGTGATCACCAAATACCTCCACCTTCATATCGCAGACGATGTTTGGTTTTCTCTGACATTTGCGACACCTTGCACGAAAAATTTGATTTTGAATACAAGCCTTTCATATCGAATCAAATGGGACTTGTATATACTAAGTTGCGGGATGCATGGTAGCTGCAATCTATGATTGGAAAATTTACTATAATATGATTAAAATTATCGCGTTTATCATACAGCATGGAAAGCTTTTACCTCTAAGTTTGTTCCATTGTATGAAAAGGTCAAGGCTGACGTAGAGTAGTCCACCGTGTCATTGATTTCCAATTCTGATGGGTATGTACGATGGACATTATTTATAAATGTCTTGTTATTTAAAGATATAATACCATCGACAAATCTGATGATGAAATCAAAGGACATCGTAAAATCTTTTTGATTGGGGTGCTATGCTCTCCGATAGATTCAGCATTGTAATAAAACAATATCAAGTCCGCAGAAATAGGAATACAGATTATTCTCTTAGAGTTCAAATGAACTGTTTTGGAATGCTTAGTGCCAAACTCTACAAAACTACGGCATTATCAGCTAGAAAGGCGATCATTTTAACAATGTCTTCCTTTATATTTCTTCTAATTTTCGGCCAAATACATTTAACTTTCACATATTATACTACCGTTAACATAAAGAAATAAGTAAAAACGAAAGCGCCGATACAAACAGAACAACGGCGTCATTTTAGAATGCGGTATGGTCGTGTACAGAGGGGATGCTTTTAGAATAGGGTGTTCGAGATTAGCTAAGAGCTCTGAAATAATGCAAATTGTTTCAAATTTTATTCCTACTGTACAAATGATTTGATTTACCCCAAATTTAGTCTGAGGCATTGTTTGAAAAAAATTGTAAAAATGTTGGGTTTTGGCCCTCTGGGGTAGGAGAGGAGGAGTCCAATGGGGAAATATAGAAATCCTTTAAAATCGAAATCTTCCTGTCGAAATGATTGGATTTTGTCCAAATTCAGCCTGAAGCATTCTTGAGTGACAGTGGCATCAATTTTGTATGAACGGTGGGCCTGAGTTCCTTGGGGCGGGAGGGGTGATGTCCACAATGGGGATTTTGGCAATTAAGATCATATTTCTCCTGCAGAATTGGATTTTACCCAAATTTAGTCTGAAGTATTATACGATTGATGGAAGTAAATTTTGTACAACTGGTTGCCCCTGGGGCAGTAGAGCGGGCCCTCTATGGAAAATAGAGTAAGTTCTTTAAAATGAAAATATCTTTAAAAAATGTCTACCTGTGACAATGATTGGATTTTACCTAAATTTTGTCTGAGGGATTATTGCTGAAAAGAGAAGCAAATAGGAATACGCGATGGTCTGAGCCTTTTTGGGTTGAATGACTGGGGCCCAATAGGGGAAACAGAAAAAAATCTTTAAAAGCCTACACTTGATTTAGGAATTATTGAATTTTACCAAAATCTGATCGGAAACATTTTCAGGTGAAAGGGAATCAATTTTGTATAATTCTCGGGTCTAAAATATACCGGGGCCGGAGGAGAGAGCCCAATAGGGGTAATAAAATAAATCTTATTTCTCCTGTAAAATTATCTTATGTGGACCAAATTTGGTCTTTGGCATTCTTAGGCAAACGACACGTTTTGTTAGATAATGTTGGCATAAAGATAACAAAAAGCAAAATTTAAAAATTTTTTAATACACTGAAACCTGACATGTATTTATCGACAGCTTGGTTATGATCTGAAACCTGGCCTGAATTTATCTACAGCTTGATACTGATCTGAAACCTGGCCTGGATTTAATCGACAGCTTCATATTGATCTGAACCTGGCCTGTATTTATCGTCAGCTTGATATTGATCTGAAATCTGGCCTGAATTTATGGACTGCTTAATATTGATCTGAAACCTGGCCTGAATTTATCGACAGCTTAATATTGATCTGAAACCTGGCCTGGATTTATCGACAGCTTCATATTGATATGAACCTGGCCTGTATTTATCGTCAACTTGATATTGATATGAAATCTGGCCTGAATTTATGGACTGTTTGATATTGATCTGAAACCGGACAGATAGTGTGTGATAGTTTCGAAAAAAATGTTTAGATATATCATCTTTTTAAATTTCTCTTGATCTTGATATATATATACTTATCGTCGATACTCAAATATACTGGACACTTCTTTTAAAAGCGCCACACCCAACATGGCGGGTGTGGCCAATGAAGCAGAAAACACTTACTCTTTCGAATCACCTGTTCTTCTTCTCGTTGTACTTTTTAAGGGGTCTTTGAATAAATGTTTCTTTTGTTCATATTTTGCCATAGTTTTATTGAATTTGACTTTGGATTATGATTATGTTGACATTTTGGTATTTTAATATTATTCCTCATCAATAAAATTTAGTTCCCTTGAGGGAAATTTTGATATCATATCGTTCTGTTTAGGTCCACTGTTCGTGCGAAACCAAAACAAATATCAACTTATCCTGATCTGGTGCAGTTGATTGCTACTCTTAATTACTTTTTTTTACAAGTTTTTGTTCAATCGCCCTTTATTCAGACACGGAATCCCCAGATATCTAGAGTGATAGATATAGTATCCCCAGATATCTAGACTAGAGTCATAGATACAGTATCCCTAGATATCTAAAGTGATAGATACAGAATCCCGAGATATCTAGACTAGAGTGATAGATACAGTATCCCGAGATATCTAGACTAGAGTGATACATACACTATCCCTAGATATCTTTACTAGAGTGATAGATACAGTATCCCTAGATATCTATAATGACATATGCAGTATCTTTAGATATCTAGAGTGATAGATACAATATCTCTTGATACCTACATTATAGTGATAGATACAGTATCGCCAGATATCTAGACTAGAGTGATAGATACAGTATCCCTAAATATCTAGAGTGATACATATAGTATGTCTAGATATCTAAACTAAAGTGATAGATATAGTATCCCTAGATATCTAGAGTGATATATACGTTATACCTAGATATCTAGAGTGATAGATACAATATCCCTAGATATCTAGACTAAAGGGACATATACAGTATCCCTAGATATCTAGAATATAGTGATAGATACCGTATCCCTAGATATCAAGACTTATAGATACAGTATCCCTAGTTATCAAGAGTTATATATACAGTATCCCTAAATATCTAGAGTGATTGATACAGTATGCCTAGATATCTAGACTAGAGTGATAGATACAGTATCCCGAGATATCTAGACTAGAGTGATAGATACACTATCCCTAGATATCTAGACTAGAGTGATAGATACACTATCCCTAGATATCTAGACTAGAGTGATAGATACAGTATCCCTAGATATCTAGACTAGAGTGATAGATATAGTATCCCTAGATATCTAGAATAGAGTGATAGATACAGAATCCCTAGATATCTAGACTAGAGTGATAGATATAGTATCCCTAGATATCTAGACTAGAGTGATAGATATAGTATCCCTAGATATCTAGAGTTATAGATATAGTATCCCTAGATATCTAGAGTTATAGATAGAGTATCCCTAAATATCTAGAGTGATTGATACAGTATGCCTAGATATCTAGACTAGAGTGATAGATACAGTAGATATCTAGAGTGATATATACAGTATCCCTAGATACCTACATTACAGTGATAGATACAGTATCCCTAGATATCTAGTGATAGATACAATATTCATAGATATCTAGACTAGAGTGATAGATGCAGTATCCCTAGATATCTAGAGTTATATATACAGTATCCCTAAATATCTAGAGTGATTGATACAGTATCCCTAGATATCTAGACTAGAGTGATAGATATAGTATCCCTAGATATCTAGACTAGAGTGATAGATACAGAATCCCTAGATATCTAAACCAGAGTGATATATGCACTATCCCTAGATATCTAGAGTTATAGATACAGTATCCCTAAATATCTAGAGTGATGTATACAGTATGCCTAGATATCTAGAATAGAATGATAGATACAGAACGCCTAGATATCTAGAATAGAATGATAAATATATTATCCTTAGATATCTAGAGTGATAGATACAGTATCCCTAGATATCTAGAGTGATAGATACAGTATCCCTAGATATCTAGAGTGATAGATGCAGTATCCCTAGATATCTAGAGTGATAGATACAGTATCCCTTGATACCTACACTATAGTGATAGATACTGTATCGCTAGATATCTAGACTATAGTGATAGATACAGTATACCTAGATATCTAGAGAGATACAGTATCCCTAGATACCTACATTATAGTAATAGATACAGTATCGCTAGATATCTAGACTATAGTGATAGATACAGTATCCCTAGATATCTAGACTAGAGTAATAGATACAATATCTCTAGATATCTAGAAAAGAGTGATAGATACAGTATCGCTAGATATCTAGACTAGAGTGGTAGATGCAGTATCCCTAGATATCTAGACTAGAGTGATAGATACAGAATCCCTAGATATCTCGACTAGAGTGATAGATGCACTATCCCTAGATATCTAGAGTTATAGATACAGTATCGCTAAATATCTAGAGTGATTGATACAGTATGCCTAGATATCTAGACTAGAGTGATAGATACATTATCCCTAGATATCTAGAGTAATATATACAATATGCCTAGATATCTAGAGTGATAGATTCAGTATCCCTAGATATCTTGAGAGATAGATACAGTATCCATATATCTGGAGAGATAGATACAGTAACCCTCGATATCTGGAGAGATAGATACAGTATTCCTAGATATCTGGAGAGATAGATGTTTCCTCTCCCCATGGATTTTACCTATATTCTTTGTGCATTTTGTTGCAGTCGGAATTATTAAACTTGTGATTTAATGAATACCTTAAAATACAAATTTAAAAAAAAAACTCACCATAACACAAAGTTACCAAGTGCAGGAGACCGAAAATTGACACCATAATATCCATCATCAGCCTGGACAAATGGAGTTTTTTGTTCCCTATAGTTGGCGTCATTATGCAAAAGCATTAATATAGCTTTATTAATCAAAATTCACCTACAGTTAAATTCTCCAAAACCGATAATTGCTTATTAAGTCTATCA